AAAAAAAAACAAAAATGAAGAATTTTTCTACATTATTCTATTTAGATCGAGTATCATTAATGAGTTTTTTTGTTGATACTTTATTTCGTACGACAATTGCTATACCAGTTGAATCTTATTCATATGCTTTACATTTGGAAGTATTAAATACATTACTTTCACTTTTATCAATTCAAATGTGTGCTAAAGAAGCAGCACTTATTAGTGCTATTTATAGTATTTTCATGCATCGACTTGAGTATGAAGAAAAATTTTTTGAAGATTTATTAAATAAATTATTTATTTTTAGTCCATTATTAATTTCGGAATTTACACGAACATTATTAGAACATTTTATTAAACAAACAGAATGTCCATCAACATTAGCTGTTGTTCCATTGGATGGATCGAATGGAGATAGTGGAACTTTATATAAAATTGGACAAAGTGTTGCATGTAAGTTATTTAAAATAATTGAAAAAGTAAAAATTTCATCTATATTGAATGGGAATATTTATGTTATTTTTTGAATTGAAATTATTGGTTCTGATTGTGATTCAAAATCACTCGTTCCTATTGCTAAGAGCTCTTGCCCAGATTGAAGATCAAAACAGAAGCTACAATTCATAAATCTTATTTGAACTTTTCATAATTTTGTCACTTATCGAAGACTCATCTTGATCCGATGTTTTATTACTCGAAATCAATAGTTTCTATGAGCCTAAGAGTTAAACAAAAATACAGTATTGTCGACTCTGTAAACTATATACAATTTTTTGATATTTTGGGTGCATGCATACAAGAATAAACTCTGATCACAAGCACCAATCTGTCCTTTATCGGTTGACATGTAATGATTCAGACAATCATCATCTTCTTTCTATGATTACTTTATCTCAATCATGTTGTCACGAATATTTTCGTCAAATCTTTCATTTTATTAAGAATGTCTTTCGAAGAATAACTTTTATCAATTTATTTGAAAATTTTAGTAAATAATTTTCATGAGATGACACATCGGTTCACTATTTCAGAGTGTATGCTGACTACATACCACGAGCTTTGATGATACTAAAGTTGATGTACGTAACTACGTTTAGCGCTAGAAAAAAAAACAGTAGTAGCTTGTGGAATAACAAAAAAAATTTTTGAGTGCGGAATTCTGCTGAATATATTTTTCACAAGGGAAAAAATGATAAATTTTTTTTTTTTTTTTTTAAATATTTAATTTTCTTTAGATGGTCTTTGGTCTGTTGTTACACTTGGTATGGGTTCATCATCGACATCAAATACAACTGATGAAACAGTAACAGTTAATGATTCAGCATATGAACTTCGCAATCATCATTTAGCAAATCAAAGTATACATTTACTTTTAATTTTAAGTAATCATTTTACAAATGATGCTCATCGTAATCCTTATCGATTGGCTTTATTACATTTTACTGATACACAAGGCAAGTATAAGACAAAAACAAAAAATAAAAGTAGAAATTTATATTTTAGATAGTCCAACAAATTTACCAGATTCTGAACCATTACCTTGGTTTTCTGTTGATTATCGTCGTTTATATGAAGTTCTTTGTGAAACAGTACATACTGATCAAAGTACATTATTACTTTATATGTTATTACATCGAAATCAACATTTTAAAGCTTATGTTATATCACGAACGAATATTGATCAAATTGTAAATTTAAATTTTTCTTAATGCTTGAATTTTAATTTTTTTTTTTTTTTTTTTTATAAAGGTATTACCGGTTCTTCGAGTCATCTATACAGCTACTGAACGAAATTCACATCATATTTATATGTCATTAATTATTCTATTAATTTTATCTGAAGATGATTATTTTAATAAAACAATTCATGATATTAAATTAAAAAAATTAACATGGTAAATCTATGTTTTGAGTATTATTGAATTTGTCTGCACGTCTAACATGACAAGAGCATATATAGAAAAATTTATCAAACAAAAAAAAATCCGATACAGATATATATTAGAATTATTGAATATCGATTATGATAATATGTCACTGGTTTTATTCTATTACAAAAAGTTATAGTCATAATTGATTAGACCTTATGTTCGATATGTTAATTTGTAGTTCAATATGGAATAGGTAGAGATAATGTCTATTTTTTTTTCGAAAGAGTATTAAGAACTAAACAAATCACTTAAGAACATTCTCCTTTCTTGAATCAAAAATTATTTCTAAATGTTAAGAAGTCAAATTTACGTAATGAAAATAGCGAAAACTATACATAGTTTCGACCGATTGAGCTGAAATTTTTTGTATGACAACTAGGATCAAATCAGGGTGTATATCTTTTTCTTAAAATAATTTTCTAGTGATTCTTGGCAGATCTTACAAAATTTGCCCTAGGGGGAAAAGTCACGTTTTTCGACAGGGCTTCCAGTATTTTGATTCTCCTGAGCGCAAGGGAACAATATTTTTCAAATAAAAAAAAAAGTGAACTTCGGCTGTTTGCGGAGGAGGGAACTTCAGGTCATTTTTGGCCCCCGGTATCTTATAGAAGGAAACATTTGTGTATTGTGACAACTGTTACTCTATTAGTTGAGATCTATCTGCCTTGAAAGTTTGATCATCTTTCGTCGAGCCTTTCCGAAAAATCTCGGAAAGGAGAAGGCCCTTCAAAAAATCGATTTTTCTAAAAAAGACACTAATAAACATGACTTTGAAGTTGTCTACTTTTAAAAAGACTAATATCTGAATCCATAGGAAAATGATAATTGCCATTGTAGGTATTGGCTTCTAACATGTAGCTAGAAGAGTACTCAAGATGACTTGTAATAGAATCAAATTTGATGTTGATCTTTCGTTCTGGTGAAGTACGGATTTTATATTCAATCTTCAACATTAAAGTCATCGTAGATTTTTGAAGTTTTAAAGGTCCGTAAAAATAAAATTAAAAAATTCATTGCCGTAATGAATTCTACTGTTAAAGGATTGTAGCTAGACTCCTACACGAAGTCAGCTAAATTTTTTGCCAAAACAAAAAAATTCAATTGTAACATATCGATTCACATGAAGAAAAGTCGGAGTTGAATTTGATCCTAACACTTTAGTTGATGTTCGAATGCTTCTATAAGAACATTGTTGAAGTTAAGAAAGATTCATATGTTAAAACTAAATTTTCGGACTCTAAACTATAGGTTGAAATGTATTGCTAGAAGCAAAAAATAAAAGAAATCAACTTTTAGGTATACTGAACGTTCATTAAATGAAATAAGTTTGGGTGGTTTACTTGTTGCTGTTGTTCTTCGTACAATACAATTTAATATGACACGTATGCGTGATAAATATTTACATACAAATTGTCTTGCTGCATTAGCAAATATGTCTTCACAATTTCAAAATTTACATACATATGTTTCACAAAGAATTGTTTCATTATTTAATTTACTTGCACGTAAACATGCAAAAACATTAGATCTTATACAACAACAATCAAAACAACAACAACAACAAACATTAACAACAAATAATTTAAATGATAATATATTTAATGAATATGTACAAGATTTAAGTATTATTGAAGATGTTATGAGAATGGTTTTAGAAATAATTAATTCTTGTTTAACACATACACTTCAACATAATATTAATCTTATTTATACATTACTTTATAATAGAGAAATATTTGATAATTATAGAGCACATCCAAGTTTTCAAGATATTTTACAAAATATTGACACAGTAAGTTTTAATTATCAGTTTAATAATTTTTTATTTTACAAAAAAAAAATTGATTTTATCGATTGAAAATTTAGGTTATTATTTATTTTGCTGAGAAAGTAGAAAAACTTGAACAACGTTCAACTGAATATGTTAAAGAAGCTTTAGAAATGGGCGCTAAACAATTTCCATTGGATCGATTAAAAGTAATTTTTTTTTTCAAAAAAAAATGAAATTATCATATTATAATTTTCTTTTTAGAAATTTCCTGAATTAAAATTTAAATATGTTGAAGAAGAACAACCTGAAGATTTTTTTGTACCTTATGTATGGACTTTAGGTATATATATTTCATATTTAACAATAATCTATATCATTATAATCTATTTAGTTTATAAATCTTGTAATCTTTATTGGTCATCTGAATCAATTCTTATTTTTAAACAACAACAACAATCATTAATTTCACATTGACAACACTTTACATCTTTGTTTATTTATTCAATTAGGAAAATATCCTCGTATTATATACATATGTGTATCTTTGTTCTTCTTTTTTTTTTTTT